AAAAGACAACTTTCTTTTATACCATGCCTTGTTTCAATCTCGTTATCTGGCACATTAAAAAACCCTGTAGCTAATGCTTTGTTTTCATCGTGCAACGACAGCCTAAGGTCATTTTATGTATCATCACTTTTGAAACCAGTGCATTAAGAAATGTCATGCACGAATTGGGAAATATTCTCTGAAATTCTATGTAAAATGACGATTTGGGTGTATCTACTTTAAATGTGTGTGTGTGTGTTCTTTAGTTCTGATTTTTTTCACCTATCTTTCTCAATTTCCTCCCAAGGGAAAGTGACTGTAAAGAGAGGTGGTGGCTGCGCCTGTTGCCGGGGTCCTACCTGACGCACATTATAACTACTTCTTTTGGAGCCACCTCTGAGATTGTTAGAGGGGCCTTCTCCTGCTGATGTTCAGGTGTATATCAGTATGTAGTGTCTCTACTTTAAAGAGTCCTATCCTGCTGATGTTCAGGTGTATATCAGTATGTAGTGTCTCTACTTTAAAGAGTTCTCTCCTGCTGATGTTCAGGTGTATATCAGTATGTGGTGTCTCTACTTTAAAGAGTCCTCTCCTGCTGATGTTCAGGTGTATATCGGTATGTGGTGTCTCTACTTTAAAGAGTCCTATCCTGCTGATGTTCAGGTGTATATCAGTATGTAGTCTCTCTACTTTAAAGAGTTCTCTCCTGCTGATGTTCAGGTGTATATCAGTATGTGGTGTCTCTACTTTAAAGAGTCCTCTCCTGCTGATGTTCAGGTGTATATCGGTATGTAGTGTCTCTACTTTAAAGAGTCCTCTCCTGCTGATGTTCAGGTGTATATCGGTATGTAGTGTCTCTACTTTAAAGAGTCCTCTCCTGCTGATGTTCAGGTGTATATCAGTATGTAGTGTCTACTTTAAAGAGTCCTCTCCTGCTGATGTTCAGGTGTATATCAGTATGTAGTGTCTCTACTTTAAAGAGTCCTCTCCTGCTGATGTTCAGGTGTATATCAGTATGTAGTGTCTCTACTTTAAAGAGTCCTCTCCTGCTGATGTTCAGGTGTATATCGGTATGTAGTGTCTCTACTTTAAAGAGTCCTCTCCTGCTGATGTTCAGGTGTATATCAGTATGTAGTGTCTCTACTTTAAAGAGTCCTCTCCTGCTGATGTTCAGGTGTATATCAGTATGTAGTGTCTCTACTTTAAAGAGTCCTCTCCTGCTGATGTTCAGGTGTATATCAGTATGTAGTGTCTCTACTTTAAAGAGTCCTCTCCTGCTGATGTTCAGGTGTATATCAGTATGTAGTGTTTCTACTTTAAAGAGTCCTCTCCTGCTGATGTTCAGGTGTATATCAGTATGTAGTGTCTCTACTTTAAAGAGTCCTCTCCTGCTGATGTTCAGGTGTATATCGGTATGTAGTGTCTCTACTTTAAAGAGTCCTCTCCTGCTGATGTTCAGGTGTATATCGGTATGTAATGTCTCTACTTTAAAGAGTCCTCTCCTGCTGATGTTCAGGTGTATATCAGTATGTAGTGTCTCTACTTTAAAGAGTCCTCTCCTGCTGATGTGCAGGTGTATATCAGTATGTAGTTTCTCTACTTTAAAGAGTCCTCTCCTGCTGATGTTCTGGGATAAGCGATCTGCAGGGAAAGGCGCCGCGCCGCAGAAAAGTCACAGTTTTGATGTTAAACTCTATGTCGATTTAATCGATCACTATTTTGAGTGGCTGTTTTCGACAATGATGTTAATAAGTGTTCATATTTATTTGGCCCATACTACTACTTTTACTTAAAAGTAGTAGTATGGGCTTTTACTTAAAAGTAGTAGTATAGTGTAGAAAAACCCTTTTACCCTGTTACAAGTGAAAGACCTGCTTTCATAACCTTACCAAAAAACTAGCATAGAAATATTCAAAAATAATTAAAAAAGAAAAGGCTTTTTGTCCAACACAGTCAATACATTCTTTTTATGGCAGCATTTATGTGTGAATCAAAGTTCATGTCACAGAAATAGATCCCTGCTCTCTATATTTGGATTGAACAAGTAAAGTACAGAGTGGAAATCAATACAATAAAGGTGAACTTCATATTAAGAAAACACACAAACTAAGCCTTTATAATAAATCACATCGACACATTAAAGGGACTATTTAAGTATGGCTCTGTGTTCACATGGCGTATAGGGCTCAGCCACAATATTTGGTTGAATCATTATTACATGTCCCTTGTTAGACGCTTTTATCCAAAGCGACTTACATACTCAATACTGTGGGCAATCCCCACAGGAGCAATTTGGGGTGAAGTGTCTCAGGGACACAACGACATGCTGACTGCAGTGGGGTTTGAACCTGTGACCCCCTGATCCGAACACCAACACACAACCCACTGCACCACACGTTTCACATTATTTTGTGTTAACATGCATTCATATAAACTTGCATTATTCTTTGTAGAGCATAACACATTTTAAAGTTTTTATACCATGCCTTGTTTCAATCTCGTTATCTGGCACATTAAAAAACCCTGAAGCTAATGCTTTGTTTTCATCGTGCAACGACAGCCTAAGGTCATTTTATGTATCATCACTTTTGAAACCAGTGCATTAAGAAATGTCATGCACGAATTGGGAAATATTCTCTGAAATTCTATGTAAAATTACGATTTGGGTGTATCTACTTTAAATGTGTGTGTGTGTGTGTTCTTTAGTTCTGCTTTTGTTCACCTATCTTTCTCAATTTCCTCCCAAGGGAAAGTGACTGTAAAGAGAGGTGGTGGCTGCGCCTGTTGCCGGGGTCCTACCTGACGCACATTATAACTACTTATTTTGGAGCCACCTCTGAGATTGTTAGAGGGGCCTTCTCCTGCTGATGTTCAGGTGTATATCAGTATGTAGTGTCTCTACTTTAAAGAGTCCTCTCCTGCTGATGTTCAGGTGTATATCAGTATGTAGTGTCTCTACTTTAAAGAGTCCTCTCCTGCTGATGTTCAGGTGTATATCAGTATGTAGTGTCTCTACTTTAAAGAGTCCTCTCCTGCTGATGTTCAGGTGTATATCAGTATGTAGTGTCTCTACTTTAAAGAGTCCTCTCCTGCTGATGTTCAGGTGTATATCAGTATGTAGTGTCTCTACTTTAAAGAGTCCTCTCCTGCTGATGTTCAGGTGTATATCGGTATGTAGTGTCTCTACTTTAAAGAGTCCTCTCCTGCTGATGTTCAGGTGTATATCAGTATGTAGTGTCTCTACTTTAAAGAGTCCTCTCCTGCTGATGTTCAGGTGTATATCAGTATGTAGTGTCTCTACTTTAAAGAGTCCTCTCCTGCTGATGTTCAGGTGTATATATAGTGTCCGTACTTTAAAGAGTCCTCTCCTGCTGATGTTCTTCGGGGGGGAAGTTAAACTTCCTCTGAAGGGAACACAGGGATGTTAGCCTTTGCAGACCATTTACAAGCACAAAAACCTATAGAACACACTACAGGAAAGGGAACACCCCAAAAAGCATTACAGGTCTCTTTAATTGATAATAATTTAAATGATGTATCATAGACATATGAATTGTTATAAACAGTAAAGGAGTAGTGCTCCCAGATTTTAATTATATCTAAAGGAATAAAGCCAGCCATAATCTAGTCTCAGAATTTGAAGACTGCTATGGAGTTCTGGTCCGCTGTATAGAGAACCGCAGTGACGCGTCCTAAAACCCGGAAGTAAGTTAGCATTTTTACCACGTCCGGTTCCTTCGACAAAAAGCAATGCAATTTCTCCATAGGATTTTGGAAAATAGTTCGAAATAAGGTCTGTGTTTGACACAAATTGAAGAGACATATCACGTTTTGTTCTACGACATTAAATACATCAGCAGTGACCCCGCTGGTGATTTCTGAAGAGTTTACGTGTCTGAAAAACGATGGTTGTTAACAAGTGGCTGAATTTACGTCATTACACCGAACACGTAAACACTACCGCTAAGTTTGTTTGCCCTGTTCTGCTTGAAAGCAAGTACCTGCCTCCTGAAAACTGTTCAAACAAACGCTTCAACTTGTACCATTTAGAATCTGTATGTTTGAATATGGATCTTAAGTTGGCGTGACGTTGAAGCAGCGTCCCTGCTGTAGTTCGTTTATAGCATAACGTTAGCATTTTGCTTCTGGCGACTAGAATTATGATTCGAAAATTATAAAAGTAGGGTAGACATGTGGAGATTATCCGGCTGAACAAAACGTGATCCGTCTCTTAAATGTGTGTCAACCACAGACCTTATTTCCAGCTATTTTCCAAAATCCTATGGAGAAATTGCATTGCGTTTTTGACGAAGGAACCGGAAGGAGTTTACTTCCGGGTTTTAGGACGCGTCACTGCGGTTCTCTATAGAGACCTGATTTTTCATACATACACATCTCTACAGCTTCAATTTCTACTCTTGGGGAGATCTTAGTTTTGTTCTAAAGCTAGCTTGTGAATGTTTTGAAAGAGTACCTTTGGATCAGGGAGACAGTGATGATGACTTGCAGCAAATGATGCCAGGACTGATTCCAACACAGGTCTTCCGCATAGAGACCCGTCCCCAGTTCATGGGCCTCCAGCTCTACCAGTTGAGCTATAGGGGGCACAACACATTTTCAAAACCGTATGACTTTACCATAATAATAACTCTAGACAACATTATTATTATTGCATTAGATTGCTTCTCATTTTCTACTTTTATTAGGGTCTTTACACATTCAAAATAGTTTTTTGGAGATCACATTTGCTTTCGCAGAATAGAAAAGTAAAATGTACGTATTATTTTTCCTGAGAAGGAACACAAGGCGTTGGGTAAATTCAGCAGTCACATGTTCAGTAAAAGAAAACAAATGTTGACTTATTTTCTGGTGTAGATTTGTTAGGTTTGTTTTTTCTGAATAAGTGGGTGTATTTATAGATGACACCTTTTCTTTGGAATATGACTCCTCACAAGTAGTGATTGCACAATGAGCCAAAGCCTTTCTGATCTCTATATAAAGGCAGCTGACTTGTGGTAAGTACAACAGACTTCAGCAGACCAGTTGACCTCTATCATTCCCTGTCAGCAGACACGTAAGTGTTCAACAATGTATTATTTTCTTGCTGTGGAGCATAGATTTTCTATTTCAGAAAATGTTTATTTCCTAATATTCTCTATGAATATTGTAAATGGTTGCAGTATGAATGCACATTTAAAAATGCAATGATTTTAGATGTCATTATGGTGATCTATATCTGAGAATCGATATTTTGATTTTTCATATTTATATTGGAGCTCATCTGAAAAGGCAGAGTTCAGTCAGACAACTCACGTGTTTCTTTGATATATTTATTAGAAGCAGCATATAGTTTGAGTTTGGCGTCTAGGCTCGGGCCTCATCCCTCCACAGATTTAGTTATCCCCATACAGATAACTGTCCCCCGAGCCTACAGGTGGATGCTGGGGGTGGAAGCTGGGGTGGTGGTGGGGCAGGCGAGCAGCAGTATCGTGGAAGCAGCAGCAGCAGCAGCATTAGCGAGGCAGAGGCAGGCGGATCTGGCAGCTTAAATAGAGCGGCAGGTTTAGGAGAATGTGTTTGGTTGGTTGTAAGAGGGACGAGGCGCGTCACGTGTAAATGTATCATTGGTGCTCGAGCTGACTGCCTTAACTAGCTCGCAGGCTTCGTCACATTTGTGCAGCTAACTTGTCGTATTGTGTTTAATAAAGATTTCTCTTTCTTCAATGCAGTTTCCTAAAATGACCAACTACATCACAGCACTTCAAGTGTCCATTGATGAAGCTGAGGAGCAAATGCTCCAAGCAGAAGGCTTCACAAAAATCAATGTTGATCTGAACAAAGGAGCAGGAGGGAATCACATCTATCTTTGGTACAAACGTGGATCGTGTCCTATCACCAAGGTTCAAGTTTCCTTCAGCAATGAGATGGCTGACGGTTTGATCAATGCAGGGTACACAAAGATCGATAAATGTCTCAATGCTGGAGCAGCAGGTAGTCACCTCTACCTTTGGTACTTCCATGGGTCCGGAGAGAATGATGTTCCCATAGTGGACATTTCTGTCACTGCCGATGCACACAATGAAGCTGCAAAATTCAAATTTGGTTGGGAGAGAGTAGCCTGTGATCTAAACCGCCGGGCTTGTGGAAACTGGATCCACGTCTGGCTGAAGAGAGAGAAACAAACGTACATCTGTGAAGTCACTGCCACTGATTCCTTTGGGTCAGACTCCGACTACTTTAAGGATGGCTACATCCGTCTGGATGAAGACACTAACAAGGCTGCAGGAGGAGCCTTTGTTTTCATCTGGTACCGTCAGACCACCGACCCCAAGAAGGCACTCAAAGACCTGAAAGTCTCCATCACTGATAATCAGTATCAGGAATATCAGCAGCAAAATTACAAGTCAGTGAGTGTTAACCTGAACGAGGGGACCAATGGGCACTCTGTGTACCTGTGGTACAAGAAAAAGGGATGCAACAACCCCATCAAGACCATCGCCCTGCTCGTCAACATCGCTCTGATTCCAGAGTATGAGAAGGCTGGTCTCAATGTTGTGAAGAGAAGTCTTAACGAGGGAAACTGTGGCTGCTTTGAGCATCTGTGTGTCTATCAGTAAAGGCTGAGCATTCTTTACACTCACTGAAGTAAAGAGCAGAGTCCAACATTTCAATCAGTGCTACTTGTAATCATAGAAAGTATAAATTCTTCATTTGATTTTACGTTAATCTCATTGTCAATTAAATCAAACTATTTCAAATGTCTGTTTTTCAGCTATAATCTTAATGAATGATTAAATGTTATGGCTTTCTTTCACTTTATTCTGCACACTTTCTGTTCTAAATAAAGACGACTTTGCATTTAAAATCTGTTTGCTTTAAGTATTTTATTGACTTTTCATGAATTCATTCCCATCAGTGTTATCATGCCGACAACTCAGGGCCGATATTTTTCAAACTACCTAAAGGGACATTTTAGCTATAAAACCCAGACAAACCCCAAGACATATTAAGACCATAGATAAATTCCCCTCTGAGGACATTTTGATTGTGTGACTGGCAAAAAGCCACTCAAAAATCCAAGATGGCTGCAATGTTCAAGATGGCCACCAATGATGGCTTGGAATTCTTTTTATTGTGTGCCATAAAATCACTTTCAACTGGTTTATATGTTGATCATACATTTTAGACCATGTGTAGTAGAAACCAAATTCAGATGTCAGGAATTACTCAGAAGCTTAATTTGACCATGTCATAAAAACAAAATAATCTTTCAATGGAAAATGTAGTAGTCTATAACATGGCAGTTGAGGTGGTGGAGGTATTTTGGGGTCTAAGAGCGTAGTGGTAGGCACAGTGGTGACATCATGATGTTCTGTGACGGTTAACTAGTTTTGCTAACATAAAAGACAACTATTATTTTGGTTTAGTGTCCCAATACTTTCAAATAAGATAGATACCCCACCCTCCCCTCCAAGAGACATGGTTAAAGTCACAATGGGATTTTGTATTATATGGGTACACTGCAATCAGGAATGATAGGGACATTGGGAAAGGTGGAGGTGTAGCATCATTTCTAAAGAATGGGATTAGTTATCATTTAATTCATAGAGTAAGGGATCAATAATTACTTGTTATTAAAGTTTGGATTGCAAAGGCATAGTTTGATAGTAGTACATTATTACAATCAATATAATACTCTTAAATTCTGCCACATTAATTAAAACAGGTGGTTTGGTACAAAGGAAAATAATATGGTGTGGTGATTTGAATGCGCACAGCACTTTATGGGTGAGTTATAACACTGATGCAAATGGTTATGTTATCCAGGAATGTATGGACTTGTGTGTCTGAGATGGTAAGAGATGATTTCTACAAACCTGTGTTCACCCGTGTTCTTAAAAACAGTGCAATCTATTAAGAGGCTCTGTACCCTCCTCCAGGGTATTTCATGGTGGGGGATGGTGGCTACCCCTGCATTGTACACCCAATAACCATCGTAACCCCGTATCGGTAGCCACTACAGGGGAGAGTACAGAGACGCTTCAGCTGCTGCCAGGCCAAGGCGTGTAACTTCATAGAGCTTTCCGCAAACTGAAGGTGTGATGGAGGGGCCTCCCTCTAGGCAGGGGTGTCGAACTCAAATACACAGTGGGCCAAAAAAAAAATCGGTACTAGTCGAGGGCCGGACTGGTTCAATGTTTATTGCAAAACTTATTGAAATGAACTTATTGCACATATTAAACCTGGAATTAACAAAGCTTAAATTATTGCTAATAAAAACAACATTAAACATTAAATAATCAGTTGCATTCATTTCTTATGGCTCTATCTGCAGCTTTTCCGGAGTCATTTCTTATGATTACATTTTTCCACAGGCCAACAACAGCTTCAAAAAAACTATTTCCCTCAAAGAAAAAACCAAACATGCCCTGTTGTCTCAAGAAAGAAAGTGCAGAAGGAAACATCCATGTAAACTCAGTGTGCTGCTCTGTGATGCTAGTTCAAGCCAGATACTTGGCATCTCATCTTGGGTGCAAGTTCATCAATGTTTGGGGTCAGGCTCTGAGCGGAGGAAACCCTCAGGATTGAGTGAAGGTGCAATATACCGGCGGGCCAGATCTAATAGTAATTAGAAATTATTCTGCGGGCCGAAATTAAATCCACCAAGGGCCTGATTTGGCCCCCGGGCCTTGAGTTTGACACATGTGCTCTAAGGCGTTGGAACCACACCTTTGTCCCTGCTGTTGACTGCCTGCTGTGTCCTACACAACATTTGCCATACTGCAGGAGACATCATTGAGCTGTCAGACGAGGAGGAGGAGCAGGAGGAGCAGGAGGAGCAGGAAGGGCAGGAGTGTGTGTGTGTGTGTGTGTGTGTGTGTGTGTGTGTGTGTGTGTGTGTGTGTGTGTGTGTGTGTGTGTGTGTGTGTGTGTGTGTGTGTGTGTGTGTGTGTGTGTGTGTGTGTGTGTGTGTGTGTGTGTGTGTGTGTGTGTGTGTGTGTGTGTGTTTGACACTGGCATTTATTTTCAGAAGATATTATGATAGTGTCGTTCGTTCCGGTGCACTCCGAAAGCATTTAGCACTACATCGAGATTAAATTACTGTTCATGGTAATTTGAAAACAAATGCCGGTGTCGGACAGACACAAACACACCGAACACACACACAGAGCTGAGCTGAGCAGAGCACATACACACACATCATGCGCCTTGGTGACCAGACATCTCCTTCATAAAACGAGTAATAGCGGGAATAATCGGGCAGTTCGATGTGTGTAGAGGTCCCCGCGGCCCGGGGGTTGGGAACCCCTGCTCTATGGTAAAGGTAAAATCAAATCTAATAAAGATAATCTTATAAGCAAAGGGCATAGCAAAAAAATGAACGATTGCAATAATATGAAGGCAGACAATAACATTTACCTAAGTACACTTTTATGTATTTATTGAGTCAAACAAATATGTTTTGTATGAAGGAGAAAAAACATGCTTTCGGAAAAAAACTGGCATGTTTGAATAAAATTGTTTTCCACACAACATGCACAAATATAAATAAAGATTAATGCTATTTAACGGAAAGCTGCAATTTATACTTTTGGGGGGAAATAACACCTAAAATATGGGCAATTTATTGTAATTTTTTTCCTCTTTGACAAGTTTTATTATGTTAATATTACAAAGTATACTATGTGCAAAATTGGGCTTAAAGTCAGTCCATGTCTTCTGGTGAATGTGAAATTTCCCCCAAAAATAAAATGTGGGAAAATTACAGAAATGTCAAGAATAGTCAATATCAGTTTTAAATCTCTCTAGTGTCTATTTTACAGCATATACTGCGTGTAACATTTTGTATTAAACCACTAAAAAATGTGCAAAACAATCTTGAACATCATATTTAGTGACGTCATCTGAAGCCACCGGAAGTCTGAGTTATTAGCCCCGCCCCCCGCCCCGCAGTTAGTCAATCCGACCTGAAGAGAAGGCGAGTCCACGGCTAAAAATATAATAGCTAACACAAGATGGCCGGTTTGCCTCGTAGGATTATAAAGGTACACTTTACACCACACATTGTATTTATACACTAACACACTCGGTCGTGGGGTATTGATAAGTGTATTTTGTGAGAGTATGAAAGTACATTTACTACCAAAAAACGTGTAATTCTGGCGTTAGCATTACTAGCATAGTTAGCTCATATCAAGCTAACTCGGTATTTTTTCTGTTTTGTTTTTCCACTTCCGTTCACTCCCTTCTTCTCTAGCTGTGTTTTATGTTCTCCACTAGATTTATTGTCGTGCTTTACGTGTAGTTTGTACAACACTAGGTTGCTAATGTATGGTATGAATCAACAAATTATGACATTTTGTCCTAGTCGCCATATGAATGGATTCGCTAATGTTAGCCATGCTAGCAGTTGTAGCTTTTGGGTGATTGGTACACATGTCTGGATGCGAAAACGCTGCCCTTGTGGTTTCAGAACATGAAAATGCTTGACTCAAAGCAACAATGGTCATTCTGTTTATTTTGTATGAAATGAAATGAAAAAATAGGGAGACATGTAAGGGCCCTTTGCGTTGCGGTTTCCTCCATCAGGCCTCAAGCAGCCTGTTCCGCCACTTCGTCCAGCATCATATTTATCGGCTTTAGCAGGTTTTTCACAGCCTTTACAACAACCTTAAGCGAAGTGAAAACACAACACAAGCTTCCATTATGGAGAGTTTGTTTTCGAATCCTAGTGAAGGAATATACGCTATTAACGACCCGATTTACCAGTGTACTCAGTGGTGTAAAGTAACTAAGTACATTTACTCAAGTACTGTACTTAAGTACTTGTACTTTACTTGAGTATTTTAATGTTTTTCCTACTTTGTACTTCTACTCCACTACAATTGAGAGGTTCACATTTACTTCACTATATTGTTTAATACCTTTAGTTACTTCACAGATCTGGATGAATGATGTGAAATATAATCAAGTGCTAAATCAGACTTTAGTTCCACCTGGAGTAAATTCACAAGCTACCCTGCAGTATACGAAGTCATTTAACCTAGTCTACTTCCTGTTGACTGCAGATATTGGTGCACCTGCTTTTTTTTAAATGCAGAAATTTAAAAAATGCTTCACTTCCTTTTTTGTTCCCATAGTGTCGTTGGCCTACTGTATTGCAGTAAAACTCAGAATTACGCCACCATACAAACGTGTATCATCTGTTACATGAACTCTTATAATCAAATGGATCCTAAAATAACTGGGGGCTAAAATAACACGTCTATTATTTAGAAAATTGAACAATGCCTATTGAAATAATGAATTGACTGTCCATTAAGTGCTACAAATCCAATGGTACAACTGTAAATACCTGCTGGTTTAGTAAGCTTTGTGTAGTGGTAACACCATATCTTTTGGATAGTAGGCAGACCAAACAAGCAGTATAAAGACCTTACTTGTAGTTCTGAGGAATTACATTTTTGAAATATTTTCCGGCATTTTGTAAAGCAAGAAAAAAGCAGATTAATCTACAATAAAAACAATGTTACTAGAATCCCTAATTAATGGGTTTTTTAATCAGCAAATTAGCCATTTAATGTTTGTCATCGTACTGTCAAACCAGCAGTCAAACACCTTCTGAGTTTCCGTGTTAAACAACAGTTTGTGGAATGTGGCTTTGTCTGAATGTGGGCAAGGCTTGTACAAGTGTGTGTGACTAAGCAGGGTGAAAGTGTGTCCCGCCATTCATTATCAACTGGACAATCCACACCCACAGCAATGTTTTTATACTCGTAAATGTCAACAAACGTATTGTGTATTTCTGTTCTGCTCAGGAGACGCAGCGGTTGATGGCAGAGCCGGTTCCCGGGATCACGGCCACGCCAGATGAAGGGAACGCACGCTACTTCCATGTGATCATCGCAGGGCCTCAAGACTCTCCTTTTGAAGGAGGCACATTTAAACTTGAACTATTTCTTCCAGAAGAGTATCCCATGGCAGCTCCCAAAGTGCGATTCATGACCAAAATCTACCACCCCAATGTTGACAAACTGGGAAGAATATGTTTAGACATTTTGAAAGGTAAGAAACCTTATAATAGGGAAACTAATATGTTATCTTTCCTTTATTTGAATGTGAAAACCTTGTGCACAGAAGGATTGTATAATAGAATTTTTGTTTTTAATAAACCTTAACATTTGCACTTATAAGCATAGTCATAGACAGTCAACGTGTAGGAAAAAATTAGGGATATCTGATGTAGAAAATCTATATTGGTTATGGCTTTTACGACACCTTACGCATGATCAACCTGCTGACCTATTATTCCAACAACCCATATTATTATTAGCACCTTTTTGAGAGTCTGAACACACAACAAATGAAGTCCAAAACGTACTTCCTTTTTGGAGAACAGTTATTTTTAGCTGTCTGTTGATTATGGAGCTGCAAAGAGTCTCAATGTCATGTGTGGTTCTTTAATGTTACACATTTGATTAATTGTAATATCAAATGTGTAACCTATTTGCAGTGCTGTTACGTTGACATCAAACCAGACATATAATCGAAGATACCGTTTTTATTGCCACAATCAGAATAAAGTCAAAGGTGAGAAATGTAATTTCCCCTCATGATATGAGATGGCTAAGGAGCAGCTGTTCTTCACAATGTGTCCTTGGCGAATAAAGCCTGAGGAAACATAAGTGATTACAACTGTTAAATCAAGTTGAGGTAAACAACGTCAAGGTCATGTTTACTTGACAAGAGCAAAGCAGCGCTGCTAAACTTGCCTTGAAGTTATTAAAGAATATAATGGAACAGTCTCTGATTCACAGACAAACTGATCTGCTTTTAATGTTTGTCCCTAGCCCATATTTATATTTGATTTTACAAGAGCCCGACTGGCTTTCCTTTATTACGTTTCCTCTCAAATTCTCTTTGCCACTTGCGCCAATGCTTTATCACCCTGAAGTTTCCTTTTAGATTTTAAGCGTCTTCTCTTTTTGTGTCTCTTTCTGAACTTCTCTTGCAGATAAGTGGTCTCCAGCCCTGCAGATCCGCACAGTGTTGCTATCTATCCAGGCGTTATTAAGTGCTCCCAATCCAGATGACCCCCTGGCAAACGACGTTGCAGAGCAGTGGAAGAAAAACGAAAGCAATGCCATTGAGACAGGTGAGGATTAACGTCTTGTTTATGTTCATTAAAGCACCCAGGATCAGCTGAAATGACAAAAATAATGTTAATGTCAACAGAAAAACGTGGCCGTAAGGAACAAAGGTTAAAATTGATGCAGTTATTAAGGCCCAGGCTCCACGGGAACGAAAAGGGGTTGTATCCGCATATTTCTCATGCGTATAGCCCTTTAAGCTAGACGACGCCGTAACGGAAACGTAGAAACAGACCCTGCAAACGACAACGGGTCCAAAGGTGGATAGATCTGGGAACGGAGCGCTCTGGGGGGTCCAACGGGGCCGTGTGGTCGCCTATACGGTCATCCGTTTCTGATAATGACAACGCAATAGCCCCGCCTCTCCCCGCCTCTGCTGCTCACCCCCGCAAAAGTACACTGCACACTGAATTCAGATTATTTATCTTTCTCTCGATATGAACATAAACGCGAGTGAAGTCTAATCTGACAGGACGGAGACACGCAGCTCCTCCCGCTGTGATGCAGCGGGAGCAAAACACACACTTCAAGTCAGATCATCACCCTTAGCTATTTTAATTACCTCTCAAACTACCTAAACTAGTTATAAATATGTTTATTTTTACTGTCCAGTCATCATTACTGGATCAGCTGCTGCATGAGACAGACACTGACGCTGTCAGAAGAGAGGAAAAAGAGACAGCCTCCGTGTATTTTATTATCATATATCATTATATCGTCGTTATTCATTTGTTTTAAAGCTCAATAAATAACAAAGAAGACCTTTGACCGGCACTTTTATAATTTTGTCCGGAAGATTTAAACTTTAACACACGTTGACCGGCGAAAAACTCTGCGCGGTTCCCTCCGCCCCCACCGCGGAGAATAAACAGAAGTGCAGCCATGACAACCATTCTTCTTCGCTGCTTTTGTGGAGGAAGTTACAGCGCCACGTACAGGCTCGGCATATGTACTGCAGCTTTTCCAGCGGTTGGATCTAAACGGAGCTGTCTCGTGTGGGAAGACACAATCCGGTGTATATTGCGTGTGGGCGGAAGCTTTTTGGCGATTGCCTTAATCCTATGCGTTTTGCCGTATGCGTTCCCGTGGGGCCGGGGCCTCAATCTGCAAGTTGTTTGACTGAAATAACTTCCTCTAAATCCAGAGAAACAAAGTCCAATGACGACGGTTCTTTTAGTAGCTCACAGTCTACTGAGTCCTGTGATCTCCGTGGTGTTCGGCCGTGTAAAAGAAGCTCAGCATCGGGGTTATAAAACACTATAACAGGTGTCGCATAAGGGATGTTAAACGTACTACAAACAATGGTGTCAAATGGCCAGGCAGTTACACTCTGCAGTAAAGTGAATTCAGTTTAAATATCAGGCGCTTTCATCACAGTCAGCGGTGTCTCGTACTGCTAGAACATGGACTACGCTGTGTCATTACTGTGGTAACCATGTTCTCCTTTTAGCACAAATTAGGGCATCGTTGGGCTTACCAATGTGTCGAGCTTCTGTATTTCAAACTCTTTCTATATCCATGTTAGGATGGTTTATGTAGTATAACATGATTCTGCACCGAAATGTGAGAACAAATCACATTTTATTTACTAAATGATCCACATTATAGTGCAGACTGCTCATCCCAAAGTTTTTCTATTGTCTCATGCAATTGTGCTGTTGTATTAATTAAGTAGTGCTTTCTGAGATTGTTTGCACTTACTTACTTGCATCATAAATCTTTTCAACATAGTTGGCAATTATATTTCTGGCGTTCTACAAACCAATTAGTTGAGTACTGGTTAGTTAACCAACTAAACTTGTTAACATAAATGTTCTCATTGATAAAATGATCATGAAAATGGTTGATTAATTTGACGTTAGCTGATTATCTAATTGTTTTGGATTTCTATTACCCTTCCTGTCGTGTTCGGGTTGAATCGGACCGATTTACTACTTTCATAAATATTGTGTTTTACATTTGATTGCCTCAAGGTCTTATGGTATCCTCCACAGTAGTCATTTGAACATATACAACTTCTGATCACCACTTTGATTGCCTTTTGAGTGGTTTAGTCGATGTGTTACTGGTAAAAAATGTCTGATGTTCATCCATCATATCATACACACTCAAATCGACATCATGTTAATTTGGTATTACATTGTTGACAGCTTAATAGGATGTTCAATCAAATGTGGTGATGATTAAGGGTTTTCTGTTAAAGGTCACCTATTATGTAAAATCCACTTGTTCATGTCTCTTCTACATCAACATGTGTCCCCTCTGTGTAAAGAGATTCTGAAAGTTTCAGGAACAAAGATTCTCTCTCTTTTTGTCCTGATCCATTTATATAAAAACCTGTCTGAAAATGAGCTGAACAGATTTTGGCCACTTTATGATGTCATAACGATTTTTTGGCTTGTGTAACCATTAGCCAATAACCAACCAAGGTAACCCCCCCCCACCACCTTATCACCTGAATCTCCTCCGAGAGCGCCATTGTGTTCTTTTTAACCAAATATCTCTCAGAGGGGCGTGGGGAGGGGCTCCTTATTTTCATCTAATGTAACAGACAGAGAATCAGCACTTTTGAAACAGGGCTGAAACAGAGGGGATTATGGGATGCTGCAATGATCTGTTTGGTGTTTCAGCCAATCAGAGACATGTTCTGTATATATCTGAGACCTATAATATATTGATGAAAAACAGTATAATAGGGGACCTTTAATGTAAGAGCAGTTAAAAGAGACATTTGACCGGGAGCACTAAAGTAAGAGGGGAGAAATGAACACAACAGGAGTTGTTATCTGTATACACTCTGCCACACTGCTCTTATCCACCATGTCCTCCTCACACCCTCCTCTCATATCTTCTCTCTTGTCCCCCCCCCCCCCCCCCCCACAGCCCGATCATGGACCAGGCTCTACGCAGGCAACACTGAAGTATAGAAGAAGAGAGACGAGGCGTCTGAATGTGATCCACAAAATGTACTCCTATTCTGTCAACAACATTCAAATTTAAACGGACACAAAAAAAAGCAGAAAAAAAAAGATATTAAGTCCAAATCTATTTGAACGAAACGACGAGATTTACTGCTGCAGACCTCTGGGTGACTTATTTCCTCTCTAAGGCGCGTTAAGTGTGTGTTAGCCTCCCCCCCCCCCCCCCCCCCTGTGTTGCTATTTAAATGCATGGACAGAGAACGACGCCCTCCCCACTACAGTCTTAAAAATAACTTGCGATATGCTGTCCTGGACAAGGCACATACTGGTACGTTTGCAAACTATACATGCATTAAAGCTGTTCTTCTTTTAACACATGCATTATTTGTCCACACATCTGTATGTCTTTTGTGAGCGATGACATGTTGTGTTGTTTCTACGCTTAGTGTGCGATGTCTCTTCACTAGCAGACGGGAAATCTGAACACGAATGATGAATGTTGTCTTTACTCTTTTTGGGGGAAATAGCCAATGAGAAGGTTAGTTTGATTTCCACTCCTGTGCACACCAACACGTCACTAAATATGTAGTTTGTAGCTTAGCATCGACTCACTTTGTTCCCGAGCACAGATGTAGAACTGAATATTTGTATCGCACAGTATCTTATTTCTAAAATTGGACGAGTACATTTCAAGGTTTCCACCCAGGAAGTACCGCCTCCTTTAATCCGCCTTTAACATGCAGTGCCAATCGGCTGCAAAATTATTCATCCACAGACAACCGAAGGAGATTCATTCCAGCATTTTAAATGTAAATTAGCAGACGGTTGCTGCATACCTGCCAAATCTACAGGTAGAGGATCCTCAGTACTTAACGGCTAAAACATGTCGTCCATGCTCGATGTCAGAGTAACCCCAGCAGATGTCATTTTGTCATTTCTTTTCATTATTAACATCGGTTGATAGACGGCAGATCGTGTGATTAGATGGCCAATTGTAACAAGGAATTTTTATGATTTATCTAAAAATCTGATCATGTTCAAAATGAGGTCAAGGAGTCTTGTGTTCGTGTGACGTTTTTTCAGTAAAAGTTAGGACGTTTGGGGAGGGTGAGCAGATTATTTCCACATGCTTAAAGAAAGCCATTCCCAACACATTCAGACAAGTAGACAATAGTTTGTTAAAGGGTCCCTATGTTAGCATGTTAGCAGCAGACTACGAGGGTGTGTTGTAAATGTCTCTTCTTTTTTTAAGGGTGTAGGATGCTGAGTTGTTTTTTCTTTTTAACTGTCTGTCCATGCTATCTATGTTGCCTCTTCTCTATTTTATTTTCAGTGTTCCTTCATTAAAAAGGCAAGTACCATAACCCAACATCCGGACGGTTGGTGGTAAAGTTCTTGTTAGTGTTAGAGAGGGCTGAGGAACGTTTCTTTTTTGTGAAGGCTTTGTCGTCGGGTAAAAAGTTGTCAATCACCGTGATTTCTTCTGAGTTTGTCTCCCCTGCTTCTGCTCTTCCCATGATTCTGATCTGTGATGATTTTGCAAGTGCATTGAATTGATTGGGTCATTGTGGTGGCGAAATAAAAATAATTCAAGATCAAAGGCTATTACAGACTCTCTATCGGGCCAAAGAGTCCCTCAAAATTGTTGGGAAAACTTTTTTTAAAAGAGGTAAGAAGTTGTGTTGTAAAAGTTTTTTTAAGCCCTCTTTTCTCGCTCTTTTTGGATTATCGACGACTTGGTGTTGCTTAGATCGGTTTGTGTCCCGTCAGAATTATTAACCAACTCTTTCTAACTACTACATTTACTCAAGTGTGGAGGCTGAAAGGAGCACGGCGTAAAAAAAACCTGCTTAATTTATTGTTTCTCCCACTAATCATAACCTAGAAACAGTCACTGGATTTTAGAAAAGCATAAATCAAACATACTGATAGGTCCGATTAATCGGCTCCCCGTGCAGTGTTAGTAAATTCAGTACATTTTGCATACATGGCTCTTCAAATGCTCTGTAAATAAACTGAGTTAAGTAAGTAGACTTCTGGTTTATGTTGTGGGGAGTTTGGAGGTTACAGCAAAGAGTTATTAGTTACAGTAACATATGACACGTGTCCCAGAGGAATTAGTATGTTTTATTTGATTTAAGGCAAAAACATTAGGATCAATTTTAAAATGAAATCTGATTTAAATGTCAGAGGTGTTTGATAAAACTATATTGCTAATTTCCTCCAGCCGGTGGGGAAGTCCTGCTGCAGCTCCTCCTGCAGGAAGCCGGTCACCAGCTGCTGGCTCGTCTGCACCCGGCCCGGGCAGAGCTGGGGCCCATTGGGGATAAAGAGGAACGTGTTCAACATTATAAAGCTGGCCAGCAGGTCACTTCTTTGTTGGATACTGGTAGCTTCATGTCTCTGGTGAAGCAAAGTCTTGTGCCAGTTGGAACTATGGACGACAGCAGACAAACATACATTTTGTGTGTTCACGGGGATAAGCATCCCTATCCCAAAGCGGACATATCCGTGATCATTGATGGACAATCTTAAGGTTACCCCCCGACCTCCCAAAAGTGCAAAAATAAATAAGAAAATCTATTAAAATGTGAAACATAATTAGCGGCGGCGAAACTGTGGCTTGCTTACACTGTAGGTGCACCGCGTTTGGGGGTGCGGGTGCTAGTGGTGCCTCGATGGGGGTGGTGCAGCCCCATCAGCACCCCCCCCTTCCCGCGTCCATTCGCGATGTCTCGCTGTCTCGCAGACCCCACGCAGCAAGCAGGAAGTGAACCCAGCTCACACTGTCCGCTCCTCACAGCAGCGAGCCGTGCAACGTCCCGCCAACACGGCACCCAGACCCCACGCAGCATTCTCATCTGTTTGTCCTTACTGGTGTCATTTTCTGGTTGCTAACAAACGCCATTGTAACACATAATCACTGATGTTCAGCTGTAACGGTGGTGGACTCATCAGAACAGAGTGGGCGAGCTGACCAGAGCACAGTGGGCTCACAGGGAGGGGGGGGGGGGGGGGGGGCAGGAGCTCCAACAAGCCGTGTAGGACAGAGAGTGAATACACATACTATACAGAGATGCTGTATGAGAAACCAATGTGATTTTGGAAAATTGCACAATCTATTCTATTCTAGTAGACCTCAACAATGGAATTATGATCAGTAGAAATGGCCATGACATGGGACCTTTAAATCAATTAAGTGCAATGTATGAAAATGCATGTATAATTACTGGTTTTAGATATATTCATTATTTATCCCAAGTTGGGAAAATATCTTATCACGGCAGCATTTTGACAGTAATTACAAAAATTACTTAAAAAAAAATATATATATATATATATAGAATCAAAAATATTGAAGATAAAACTGAAAATATCAAAGTTGACCTTGAAGATACAAATCTGTAAACTATCTGACACAGCCCTAAATTACAGCGAACACAATATAAAAGTATGATACTAATTACATTAAGTGTGCAAGAATGAAACACACAAACATTACATACAAAAAATAAACAACTGGCCAATACTTTAACCCAGGGGTGTCCAAACTACGGCCCGGGGGCCATTTTTTAATCGGCCCTCAGCAAATTAAAAAAGGATAATGGAATATGGCCGAACAAATGAAACTTGTGCTTGTCTTATATTGTACTTCTGAAGTATATGACTGATTCTATAATCAGGGTGCATTTCACATCAACAAAACAGTACAAAGAAAGTGTTCTTTCTCAATAGAACAATCACGGTGCGTCTACACAGCAGCGTTAAAAAAATCTTGGAACGCTTCTGCCCATTCACTTTGAATGGGGTGACGTCACTTTCCCTCACTTTTCGCCGAAATGCATTGTGGGCAGGCGAGCGGAGATTTTCAGGATTTTGAGGATTCAAAGTTGAACAATGTTCAACTTTTGAGGCTGAGGTGGAAGCGTCAGCCAATCAAATCCCGTGTACGCAAATCTGACAGTTCAAGCTCTAGCCAATCAAACCGCGTGTATGCTGGGAGAGACATACCGCAGGTCATTTCCTCATATTCCAAAAAATGGAGGAGAAATTAGCGGTAGGGAATCACCCGGTGCTTTATGACCAGACCTACCGGGATATAAACCGGAGGAGCCAGGCATGGAGGGAGGTGGCAGAGACAGTGGTATGTTTTCGCCTGTTTTGGGGAGTTTATATCCAGTTTACTTCGGGCTTTTTGGCTTCGTATGTCGCGGGCGGGAGATTCATGTGATTGGTTGTTCGCAAAAAATCCCCAAGCTTCAGATACGCCCACCTCCAAGATTTTTTTAATGCTGCTGTGTAGACGTACCGTCAGTGGTTCAAGTTAGTATATTCCTCAGTGTAACATATCCACTAGTTGCAAAGCTTAAACATTTTTTTTTAATTTTTTTTTTTTAAGGGAAAGGATGTTTTCACTACTCAACTATGTTACGGACAAACTTGATGTCATTACAATCATTTGATTAAGTCCTGCACTTCAAGTAAAATCAAATTTGAAAGGCTCTTGAGTCTATTCTACCATATATCCAAAGATTTTTTAAAGTTTAAAAAATAATTGTATTAAAGTTTTATTTTTTTATGTGATATGTTCAGCACTGTCATTAAGTTTAGGGATATTTTGTATTATAAAACTACCATACAGGTCATTTTGATAGTTTTAAGAGATGTCATGTAAAACTCCAACCTGTGTAGATATACATTATACTATAAAGGATATCAGAAGCACTATTTTAGATATTTTACATTTGAAAAAATGAGGTGCAACATAGTTGACAATGAAAGTCAAACATTTGACGAAAATAACATAGTTGACTGGACACATTGTTAACCATCAGCACTATGTTCATTTCAAGGCAGAAGTGCAAAATTCCATTGATAATGATGTGTAATGACGTCTACATGTCATACAAATTGTCAACTAGGTTACCTGTCAACTAAGTTACTACAGTTATTACAGTACTGGGTAACTTAGTTGACAGGTAACCTAGTTGACAATTTCCCTATTTTGACCCATCATTTCAATGGTAGGCCTTGCCTGGATGACCACATGTCATTTTCTTGAACAGGTTAACATCACATTTGAACATATAATTGAATTAAAATCATTAAACAATTGTAAACCATAACAATGTACGTAACATTGTTGATGGTCAATTAATATACTCATTGACAATGTGCTATTATACATAAAATATTGTAAAAAATTAGAGGACATTCACCACAGTGTGTTCAAAATGTCTGCCAAAGAGGAACATGGCATCATGTGATGCTGGTGACATGGTATTGGGACAAACCATTTTTTAGTTAAAGGGGGGAGTTCTGTTAGTGACATAGTTGACAGAACTTTTGCGGCCATTCATATATTAAGATATTTAACTTATTTAAAGGAGGAAATCAATTAAAAATATTTTATTATTCTTTAGTATTTAGACTTTTGAAATAAATGAATAATCTTTTTAATTTACTTTAATGGTTTTTATTCATTATTTTGAAACCAAGACACCCTCAACTGAAAAACGGACATAGCAAAAACTGACAATTTAAGAACATCATGACACATTTCAAGCTAAATAAAGCATAGGATGCACATAATGTTTGTGTGATATTATAACATGCTTTCCAATAATAGGCAAAATATGATATTTTTGAAGAAAATAGTTAGAATAATTATAATTATCATCAATGGACATCAATGGACATGGAATGTACCCTAAATTGTAGAATCACTCATATACAGTATGTAAACAAAACATATATTACACAGTATTCATGTGTTAATAAGCCCACTTTTCAGATAAATTCAGTCAATTAAAGTTGAGAACTTTGTCTAACAAATCTTAAATGATTAAAATAATAAACATATTTGCATAAATAGCTTGAAATATACCCTTCATATTCCCCTTTATTATAATCAATCTGAGGCCTCTGATTTAAGGAAGGAGCTGCAAAATAAATAAATAAAACTTGATGGAAAGCTTTGGTTTTCTTTTCTTGAAGCATATTCCGCTCACTTCACTGGCTTCCAGTAACTGCTAGAATCCACTTCAAGACACTGGTACTTGCGTGAATGGATCTGGTCCTTCCTACATCCAGGACATGGTTAAACCATACACCCCAGCACGTGCAGTCCGCTCTGCATCGGCCAAACGGCTCGCTGCACCCGCACTGCGAGGGGGACCCAAGTTCCCATCAGCAAAAACACGTGGGTTTGCTATCCTGGCTCCAAAATGGTGGAATGAGCTCCCCATTGACATCAGGACAGCAGAACGCTTACACATCTTCCGGCGCAGACTGAAAACTCATCTCTTTCGACTCCACTTCGAGCGATAGAATTTCTAACAAAGCACTTATATACTAATAAAGGACTAGCTTATCTAAAGCCAGTTGAGTAGCACTTGAAATGTGTTGGCTCTATGAAACCTGATGTACTTATATGATTCTGTTTTCTTCAAGTTTGTATCTTCTTGGTCGAATGCACTTATTGTAAGTCGCTTTGGATAAAAGTGTCAGCTAAATGCAAGGTAATGTAATGCAATGTAATGTAATGTATAAAGAATAATTGACCTACATTTGATTGATTTTGCTAACTCATAACTTAAC